TCACAGCCGTCTGAAACTCCAAAGGTGATTTGAGATCCACATGTATGCAGTAGATGTTCTGAGGAGCGTAAATAGCCCGTAAGAGTCGCTTGAACATCTCAATCTTCTCATGGATCACAATAGAGAATGTGATAGGGAAATGTTTCTCCTCCTCACTCAGAGGCACCGTAATGAAACTCCTCTTCTCAATGAAAGCTGGACAGTCCTTTGTGGCATTGATGTAGAAGTCTGCAGGCAAAGAAGATTGTTTCCTGGGTGCTAGAAGAGCTTCTAAGTTGGTCTTCTTCCCTTCTCTGTTTCCACTGATGATAAACAGCCGGGCAGATCTCCAGAGAACTCCAGTGGTATATGATGCTCAGAGGGAGGCTTTTTCTCAAAGGCAGTTTCCCAAAAAGCAGCAAAAACAAACATAGCCAGGAGGATGAGTAAGATAGTTTTCAACAGCATCTCTCTCCTCAGAAAGTTTGTGCAAACCATTTTCCTTGCTTGAAGGTGCGCGAGTGTGTCGACATTCACATCTGCAGTTTATTGTTTAAAGGAGAGGCTGCAGTACTTGATCTTATTAAGAAAAGTGAATCACTCATCTGTGGAGGTGTGTCAAACTAAGCTCCAGCAGGAGGGTCCTCTGTGTAACTTCCTGTATGGTTGGACGCTGCCCTGATCCTTCATTAGAATAGCAAATGATATCCTGATACATGCTCAATAATCCAGGTAGAAAAATCCAAAAAAGTTCAATCTGGTCCTCTGGACATTTGAACACAAACACAAACGGTTTTCTTGTTTTTTGAATGTCCAGAGGACCAGATTGAACTTTTTTGAATAGCAAAGGATCTTTTCCATAAATGAATAAAGTACAGTGCATACAGTTCATACTGTATAGTTCGTAACAGCAACTAAAAAACATGAACACATAACCCCTGTCCTGGCTTCTCTCCACTGGCTTCCTGTCCACTTCCGAATTGATTTTAAGATTTTATTGCTTGTTTTTAAAGTCTTAAAAGGTCTGGCCCCGTCATATATATGTGATCTCATTAACATTTACACTCCAGTAAGAGCACTCCGGTCTACCAACCAGTTCCTCTTAGATGTCCCCAGATCCAAACTAAAATCCAGAGGTGATCGGGCTTTTGCGGTTGCTGCTCCAAAACTGTGGAACAGTTTACCTGAGAATTTAAAGACCGCTCAGACTGTTGAGACTTTTAAATCTTTGCTCAAGACTCATCTGTATTCCTTGGCATTTCATCCACGCAGAGTCTGATAACAAGTTGAGCTGATTTTATTGTTGTTGTGTGTTGTTTTTACTGTTAACTTATGTTTTTGAGTGGCACTAGATGCATTTTTACTCTTTTTTTTTAAATTTTAATCTGTCTTAACTGTAAAGCACTTTGGTCAGCTTTTGTTGTTTTTATGTGCTATATAAATAAATTGACATTGACATTGACATTACTTATTGGTTTGGACTATGCTGTCCTACCTTTTGTTTGTACATTTTCTCTGTCCTATTTGCTTAATTTAACTGTAGTATTTGCATGTTTTCTAGTGGTGAGCGCCTGTTTATTATATATAAGGTGTTCTTGAGTTTTAAAAAAGCCTATAAATACAATTTTAAGTACGCATGAAACAAGAAAATGTTAAAAACCACATTATTTTCTAGCTGTAGTATCAGCTTAAAAAACTTTATTCATATGATTTACAATCATGCAGCCTGTATAGACCAGTTCTTAGTATAACAAAAAGCATCTCTAGTAATAATTTGTAAAAAGAATATACAGACATTTACACAAAGATAAGTAGTTTTTCAGTCTCCGCTCATACATTATCAAACAGTTCAGTCTTCCATTACTCTTTAAAACAGGGCCACCTTTGTTCACACCTCTATTTAACAGTGTGTATTCTACAAATGTGCACAGTTTTTCTAACCGTGACAGTCATTTCTCACTCGCTTATCTAAACTTTTGTCAAACATTTGTCAACGATAAAGAACAGTGACCTTGTCATTTCTTACACCTTTATCTAAATGTGTGTATTTGACATATTCAGTCAATTTGTTGAAGCAAAAAATACATTTCAGTTTAAAAAATAAGAATACCAATGCAAAATATAATTTAGTATTCTTCTAACCATCACCTAAGCTACATTTTCTTTTAGTCTTAGTATTGAACATAAATACTTTTTGTTGCTGTCCCCTTTAATATGAATGTATCTAAGACTGACTGAGACACATGTTTTCATCCATGTTTTGGTCTGCGTCGGTGTCCTGCTCATGGATGAAGCTGTAGCGTCGGTATACTGACCCACCCCTGGAGGTGTACACCACATCTACTTCATCACCGCTGTCTGGCTCTGGCACACCGTGGGGCATATTGATGCTGCCGCCACTCAGTCTCTCGTAGCTCCGGTTCCAGCAAAGCCTCCTCCTAGCACGGGCTTTGACCAAGGCAAACACAGCCAGGCCCAGCCCTGCTGCCACCAGCAGGGCAATGGGCAAGGCAGCTGAGGTGTGCTTCAAAGCTCTGGAGGACATATTCATGTCTGTTTCCTCCTCTGCTCCAGATCTGGGTTGTGGAGTCTCCACACACAATGCTAAGTAATGAAAATAATGGCTTTAATCAATAGTTCTATACAAAAATAAGAATTTTTGGAAATGTAGCATCTCTACCTGAGCGGCTGTCACAAACACAGCAGTCGGTGTAATTGTCTGCGTTCTGACAGCAGCGAGCGCAACGGTTTTCAACAGCATGGAGAGCAAAATCTCTGTGACAAAGCAGGCACTGGTCAGGTCTGGGTCCGGTGCAGTGCCTGCAGGAGGTGTCACAGGGTTCACAGGTTTCCTACAGAAGAGCAAGAGCACACATGATTACACTGTACACAAAGAAGTGAACAGAGTTTCAGAGCATTTACGCTTTCAAAGAAGGCCAAAGAAAGCACATGTGAAATGCTGCATTTCAGTTTTCATTGAATATCTATCCATCCATCCATTATCTTTTACCCCCTTCTTCCATTTTGGGTCACGGGGGTCGCTGGTGCCCATGTCCAGCAATCACTGTGCGAGGGGCGGGGTACACCCTGGACAGGTCACAAGTCCATCACAGGGCCTGAATATCTATTTTAAATTAAATTACTATTTCCAATGGAGGTTATTTGTTTATATTTTAGCTAAATTCTCTGATTTTCAGTAAACTACTTTGTAGGTGAGTAAGAAACTTTTTAATTCATGAAAATATAGTTATCCAATCAGATTCTTTTAAATTTGTGTCTCCAGGGAGAAACATTTTTGAAGAAGTTCTCTCTGGTTAGGACTTTACTGTCAGTAGAGAAGAGTTAGCTCCATCAGAGACTCTACAGAAGGAGTTCAAAAATAATGTTCAATACAAAAACAACTGGACTTTATTTGTAACAGAAGACGTTTCGCTCCTCATCCGAGGAGCTTTCTCAATTCAATGAGCAGTGAGTGAGAGATTCAGGTTATAAGGCTGAGTGAGATAAGACACACACACACATATGTAGATTTGACAAGGCACACCTCCACACCTTAACAGTAGGGGTTTCTTAAGGTCTTTGTTACTCTAATTCACAGATGAGGCCTCTCTGTTCCCATCAAGTGTGAAAACCGGCTGGGAATCTGTCTTAAAGTTGCATTTAGATTTTCGAAAGTGGAAATCTGAGGCCTCCTCCTCTGTTAAGAGATGGCTTTTCCCTTTTTACATAAATTGCTTCCTTCACCCCCCTCTCAAACCATCTGTGTTCTCAAAAGAGTGTCCCTTATCTGTGAGGTGGAGGTGAACAGCTGAATCTTGTCCAGAGGATGTGGCTCTCCTGTGTTGAGCCATGCATCTGTGAAGAGGCTGTTTAGTTTCTCCAATGTAGAGGTCTGGACAGTCCTCGCTGCACTGGACCGCATACACTACACCACTCTGTTTGTGTATGGGTGTTTTGTCCTTAGGGTAGACCAGTCTCTGTCTGAGAGTCCTGCTGGGTTTGAAATGTACTGGGATGTTGTGTTTGTTGAAAATCCTTCTGAATTTATCTGATACTCCAGCAACATAAGGGATGACAATGTTTTTACGTCTGTTGTTCTCCTTTTTCTGTTTATTAGGGTGTTTTGTAGATTTCCTTGCTGACTTGACAAAAGCCCAGTTAGGATATCCACGTTTGGAGAGCTTCTTGAATGTGTTTCTGTTCCTTTTCCTTCCCTTCTGTCTTCGTGGGAACGCGTTCGGCCCGATGCTGTAAAGTTCTGATGACAGAGAGTTTGTGCTCCAGTGGATGGTGGGAGTCAAACAAAAGATACTGGTCTGTGTGGGTTGGTTTTCTGTAAACTTCAATGTTAAGGCTGTCCTCTCTTTCCATCTGAACCAAACAGTTCAAAAAAGGCAGCTTGTTGTCATTTGCATCTTCTCTGGTGAACTTGATGTTGTTATCGACCGAGTTGATGTGTCTGGTGAATGCTTCTATTTCCTTGGCTTGGATTTTGACCCAGGTATCATCCACATATCAGAACCAATGGCTTAGCGTTGTTCCCTCATAGGAGTTTAGGGCTCTTTGTTTCACTTCCTCCATGTAGATATTGGCAACAATGGGTGACACTGGAGATCCCATGGCACAGCCGTGCTTCTGTCTGTAAAAACTGTCATTGAACTTGAAATAAGTGGTGGAGAGGCAGAGATCCAAAAGGGTGTAGATCTGATCCAGGGTGAAGTAGGTCCTGTTGATTAAGTCCTTGTCTTGTAGAAGTTGTTTTCTGACGGTTTCTACTGCTTCAGAGATGGGTATGCAAAAGAGAAGTCACATCATACAATACAAGGGTTTCTCCTGGGGTTAGTTTCAAATGTTGAACTTTGTTGGCAAAATCAATGGAGTTCTTTATGTGATGAGGTGTGTTTCCAACAAGAGGAGCTAAAATACCAGCCAGATGTTTAACTATATTGTATGTCACTGAGTTCATGCTGTTGACGATGGGTCTGAGTGGTGTTCCTTCTTTGTGTATTTTTGGAAGTCCATAAAGACAGGGAGTGGCTTCCCCTGGGTACAATCTATAATACAACGATCGATTGATTGTTTTCTCCTTTTCAAGTTTTGGTCTCAGCCGTATAACCTGAATCTCTCACTCACTGCTCATTGAATTGAGAAAGCTCCTCGGATGAGGAGCGAAACGTCTTCTGTTACAAATAAAGTCCAGTTGTTTTTGTATTGAATGTTTTTTGAATTTATCATGTCCTGGATGACTGAGAATCTTCATCAGCATATCTCTAGAAGGAGCTTGATTAGTAACTTACAGGAAAATTAACCAATCACACTGTTGATGTAGAGTTAGGCCTGCAGAAATCCCCTGCGGACATCCTGAAACATTTGTGTTCAAAGCAGCCCTGGAGGAGGTGGACATGAACAATGTGGCTAGCTTTCATCTCATCTTTTTGAAGTTACTCTTTTGCAGAGATCAAGATTTTATTACTAAAGAAAGAACAAATCCAGCAGTGGAACTGACTGAATGTAAAACATAGTGAAAGTTGTTTTAAAATGGACCTTTATCATCCCTAAATGTAATTTTAATTTGCGTTCATTTTCTTTCCTGCTAGTCTTGGCTGATATAATAATAAACTGTGTTGTTGGAGCCGCCTGTTTTATTTCAATACCAACAAATTATCAAGCTAAATTATCAAAGTTAAATTTGTTAATCTGATAGCGTCAGCTCAGCAGCACATCTCTGCAAGCTATAATGATGCTAAAATGTTTTGGGACATCAGCGTGGATCATAAGCTGGAGGAGAAATGCAACAGAATCTGTCTCATTAAGTCAGAAAATCACATACTGAACTTGTTGTTAGTGTTGATGTGTTTCTGGGAAAGCAGCACATGATGAGGTAAAAAAAATGCACTTATATAAATCTCTCATTTTTATTTTTTTTGACTATGTGAAGATTTGTGATGCATTCAATTACAACCTGTAATGATAATTCACAATGAAATTATAGTGTAAAAAAATTAAGGTTAAATTACCCTTTTAGGCTTAGCTGCATTCTGGTATTTTTACATGGCATGCTGCAGGAACAAGGGAGTCAGAAGCATCCGTAATGTTTGGGGGGGGGGGGGGGCACACGATGACGTGTGTAGGTGTGTGTGCACGCACGTGTGTGCGTGCAAAGAAGTGTACACTACTGTACAAAAAAAGCAGCATTTCACCTATATTTCCTTTAATTCCACACATTTAAAGCTTGTTTCTCATCAAGTTTGTGTAAATTCAGCTGTGGGTTTTAAAGACATTTTAACTTTAATACACTTTAATACAGAGCCTCAGATCAGCACTATTTGTCTTTATAGAGAAATAAAAAAAAAACATCACCACTGGACTTGTGTTCAACACTACTCATCTAAATGATGTTTCTAATGAAGCTCGAGGACAATAAGGTGTGGGGTTTTAAAGACATTTCAACTTTAATGCTCCTCAACACACAGCGTCTCTTACACCTGCAGCGTCTCTTACACCTGCAGCGTCTCTTACATCTGCAGCGTCTCTTATACCTGCAGCGTCTCTTACACCTGCAGCGTCTCTTACACCTGCAGCGTCTCTTACACCTGCAGCGTCTCTTACATCTGCAGCGTCTCTTATACCTGCAGCGTCTCTTACACCTGCAGCGTCTCTTACACCTGCAGCGTCTCTTACACCTGCAGCGTCTCTTATACCTGCAGCGTCTCTTACACCTGCAGCGTCTCTTACATCTACAGCGTCTCTTATACCTGCAGCGTCTCTTACACCTGCAGTGTCTCTTACACCTGCAGCGTCTCTTACACCTGCAGCGTCTCTTACACCTGCAGCGTCTCTTACACCTGCAGCGTCTCTTACACCTTCAGCGTCTCTTACACCTGCAGTGTCTCTTACATCTGCAGCGTCTTACAGCATCACAGTTACTACTAAGCTAAGATGCTACAGATGTAGCGCTCCTCTCAAGCATCCTCCTAACATGAATATATGTTTATGAGCAGCAACCCTGGTCAACAACTGCCTGCTAAGCTCACTAAACTGGCGAGTGAGCAACACAGAGGTGTCGCCATCTTCTCTACTTGTGTGCATTTTCTGCCGAAGCAGGAGACTCAGCAGCTGCTGCCTGCACAGTTTCTGTTCTGTGTGTAGAGTTGGAGGTAACCTAGAAAACCTGGAGTGGAGTTTTAGTGGCTTGAGTATTCTCCTATTGATCAAGTGGAATGGATTTGTTCATGAAGAAAGAGAAACTGCGCCGCCTGAACTAATGTTTCATAGTAAAAGTGGGGGGGTCCAAATGAACCTTTTTTTTTAATGTGGGGGGGACTTGTCCCCTTCACATATAATGGTTGCAACACCTATGTGCAGGAACAATAAGTTATATGGGTTAATGTTAAGTTTTAGTGTGATTTTTTGAAATTACAAGTTTTACTTGAATGCACCATAAAGACTGAGCACAGTTTATTTGTTTTAAATGAGCCTGCAGAGGATGCTGGACAGTATTGGGACAGAAATGGGTGCACTTCTTTGAGTTCTGTGTTCAGGTGGATTGTC